TATTCCATTCCAAGTAGGCCAGTTTACTGCTCCTTAAACCTTCCTTACGTCCCCCGCCAAAATACTCCCCATTCACTTTGAAGGGACAAGCGTTAAAAAACAAACTAAAAATAGAGTGTTTCCAAAATATTTCCACCAAGATTACTCGGATACCGGCCCCAGCAGGACCATAAGTCTTGACACATGACTCTAAATCTAGAACCCCTTTGAATGAGACGATTCGTAATCAACCTCACGCCTTTCCATAGCGCTCTACAAGGATCAATTTCTACAGCAAGCGATAAGTTCCAGTTCGGGAGTAGCGGTTACTATATTCCGTGCAACAATACCGATGGCGTCGTGTTGAAGCCCTTTGCGTCCTACTTTCGTGCGAATTTCTTCACCTTGAAGCTCTCTCAGATTTCGGGAAAACTTCCTACTGAAACTAGGGCTTCCAAACAGGTCCCTGAACTTAGTCGGTTACTGGGTAAGTTCTCATCATCTGGTAGCTCCTCTAGATTACTGAGTATCAGTATCGGTATCATCCTGGACTAACATAGGAGTAAAACTTTGGTATCAGATGTACCCCGATATGAATATGGACAACAAATTATATCCGGAATGTCATCCATTAAGTGCCACTGTTTCATTGTGTGACATTTCGAATAAACGGAATAAAACGGCGTCACCTATGATATTAAATGCACTGGAACCTCTTACCACCTAACGAAACTTCTACCACACCCGCACTGACCTCTCATCTCTTACGTTGAGGAGACTTTCTCATAAATTCTCACTTCATACTGGCTGCACATTCCGCTCCACACAGACGAAAGTCCTAAACTGCGTAACAACATGGATGTCGTATCCCTAAGTGTTTGGTGGACAAGCCATGTGCAGATAAAGTCACATTCAAGAAGGTTAAGCAAATAAAAACACGTATAGGAGGGATCTCCTCGCCAGAACTCTTGCTTCCTTTCTCTGCCTCCTGTTTCGTTTCGTTTTGTTCTTTTCTTGGCGCGGAAAAGCGCTTCAGTACTAAATTTCGGCTTGTTCGTGGGTGAGAAAATTTGATAAATAAACAAAACGTGGCTGGGGATACCGTCTGTTGATCACTGTAACTGTGTTCACTACAGCTAACTGCAACAAACGGAAAAAATGTTCTTAGGACCACAACCTCATAATTATCAAAACTCGAGATTTATTGACTATGGAAGTGGCCGGGAAAGCTTAACACTTACCTACCACAAGGCTGTTACAACTCGTGTGAACGGTGTCCAGGGTAATTCTGGACATCCGCCATGAGCGTCCGAACATAACCATTACTTTCCGATTCTTGGATCGAAAAATGCAGGTACTTGGCTGTCAGTCGTGATATTCAGCAATATCATGGGTCTTTGATGTGAAGTGGCATGAGCACTCATGAAGTCCATAGGTGTGGAGTCGATAAGGTGCAATAGATAAACAAGTTGCTTACATTCCCTCATGAACTTTTCGCCACCATTCCCAAGCAGAATACGCGGGGTACAACAATGAAAGCATTAGCCTAAAGCTTCACCCCTCTCCAAGCAACAGATGCAGCGTTCGAATACAAACCCTTTTCAGTAATGCAAAGACGATACCTACACCTGTCCATCTTGTCAGTTTGTGAATACTTATTGTGCTGGGATGTTTCATTTTATAAACCTCCGGCACCAGTATACTCCAGTGACGGAGTAAGTGGGGGCCAAGATCACCCACCCTTGAAAAACATGTAATTTACACAGAAATTTGTTCGTACCTGTAAAAGTGGTATACGCCAGTATATTCTCGGATAAATATTATTACTACTATTAGGTTGAGAGCTAAGCTGGTTACATAAATCGACCTCACCATTAGATAAGGAAAATCGACCGTAGTAGACTCTTCACCCACCAAGTTTTCTATACTTTAAGTGGGAAATATAAGTACTCCACCTACGTACGTAACCCTAGTGCTTATTCTCCCAACGGAGATCCATTCATTAAACTCCTTGTCAACCCACCAAACGCATACTAAGTATAACATCAATCTTACTTTTTTGGCCTTCCCACTGTTTCTTGTTATGTCCTCCCCCAAAGGCTGCCAAAAGGGACCTGCAGCTTTTGGAAGGCTTACAGATACTTTCCGCAGACTGATGTGGTACTCAAAATTAGTGACCAAGAATTGACGGCTACTTCCTCACTGTCAATTTTTTCCTCCACGCCTGCCAGTGTTTTTTATCCAGTCAAAGTTCCTAATGCCCCAGCAATTAAAAATGTTTTTCCCACCATTTGCACCCACAAATCCTGACTTACTCCTAACCTAAATGCTTTCATGGAGCACACTTCTGATGTGAACATGAATTTCATGGCTGGTGGAGCCAGACTCTCAGCAACTTATCGTGGCAATAGCCCAGGCAAGGACCCATATAACTCTAGACAAATGAGTTGCATGGTTCGTCTCTGTCCTCTTGTCTACCCTATCAAAACCTTCAGGTTTTGACCGTACCCCAGCAAACATTTCACTTTTCAGCTTTTCTAACCACCTTCATTTTTCGGACCTCCCACCGAACTTGCTCCCCTAGTTCTACCAGTTCCCGATGCTCATTGGGATGCCCTAGAGTCCCATTATTTCTTCACTATTGTCTTCTACCTTCATAAGTGAATTACTAGCTGCTCTGAATTTTCCACCACCGTTATGTGCCGATGGTCTTAAAAATTAAAGGGAATGACACGAGACAGCAAATTTCTCGACCCTTATCGACCGAATATTTAAAGTTCGGAAATAGATGGGTGTAAATCTGCCCTCGCTCAACATGGATAAACAGAAGGTAGCAATGGTAACAGACACAATGTCCCATTCTTGAACCTAAAAAGCACATAGTTGTTACAGACATGCTTATTGAGGATTACTTATAAGCCGCTGTATAGTTATTTGTGCCGTCTTAACCGTATCATATTATGATTTGAAACAGCTATAGTCGATATCGATGCACGGATATCTACTGTCAGTCGCCAGCGTCCAACAACTTCCTGGATGATTCCCGATCCCACTAATTAAGCGATGAAGACGCGTTGAAGGCGTAGGAGACATGTATTTGGGCCAGAGACTAAAGACAAAGGATAAGGAGAATATGTCCAAATATGTACGCATAGTTTGGCGTTTAAAGTGGTGACATTGATTCGTTATTAGATCGTCTGTCAGTCTAACAGTAGACTGGGCCAACATAAAGCACATTTCCATTGGTCCATTTACAGATCGGTCTTTTCTCTCCCTGTCCTCTGATCATTCCCCAGGTAGTAACAGTTCCAGGTGTAATAGAAGCAGCAACAAACATGTGCAGCTAATGTGTGAAAAAATGAGGGCTAGTTGTCTCAAATTTTATGATTTATAACAAGCTGGAATTTCGTAATTCATACCGAAGGAATGTGTGAATGTCGAGTTAAGCTAGTAAAAGTGTTCAATCATATGCACCGAACAAATCTTAGAGAAGGAAATTAAGTAATCTGTGCCGGTTGGAGATAAATCATGCCTGTTTTTGTGTTGGGAGCGGTTATTTTCATGGTAAGAAGATATATGAGGGCGATAGACTTGCATACGGGTAATTATGTTCCATAACCCCAAGAGGGAAATACATATACCCTACTCCAACATAAAAAAGACCGATAAAAGTATGAGAATACCGCCTGTTGATTTTCGCTTCGCAGCGAAGTCTGATAACTTCCTTTGGGTCTAGCTACAACGGTATATGGACTACATGTGCATCTGAAGCCAGTGGATGACTTAATTTTTATCCTCTAGTTGAAGAAACGTATTTCCATACTGGAACGGTTTCAGAGGAAAGCTACGTGAAGAGAGACTGGACTAGGGTTAAAAAAAACCCACCTGGATCCCTCAGATGTCCAAGAGCTGCGACCAATATACGTGAATAAGAGAGAATATGATCGTGATGCAGCGCGTCTCTCATAATCCTTCCATCTTAACAGGTGCTTCATAAATCTCAATCAGAAGACCCCAATAAAGGACCACTCTTTAGAAATAAAAAACGGGAGAGTACGACCGAGCACTCGTATTCATTGATTTGCGGCTTTGGTCTGTAAACTGTTGGGTTCCTTACCAGAAGTTGTTATGGACACTTTCCTTGATGCTTTCAATCGGGGTTGCACACCCAGTCGTTGTTCAGTGGTATGGGTGAGTTGTACTCGGGAGGCCTTCTAGCCCCTCAGAGACAAGGCGTAACAACAAAAAGCGAAAAGCAGTGGTCGCTAGTTCTCTTTCTGTCTCTCTCCAATGAGACTTGTGCAAATCGGAGGAACAACTGCGAAATTCTAGACCAAGAATGATTCCCAATAACATAAACCTAAGACCCAAGATCGTTCACCATTTCCGCAATATGAAGGAGGAAGTTTGAAACATAGAGGTCTTCCCTTGGGGTTCAGTACTAGGGCCTTCCCCGTATCCGAAGAAGGAGAAATCAAACCTGCAGCTTATCTAAAGGCAGCTAACCAAATCTATTTGAAGACTCGGGTCTAAAAAGTATGAAGAAGAACTGGTCGCAACTGATTGATATCCATCTGGAATACAAAGATTGAGAGGAGGTTCGATAATGACCCACAATATGTTCAGCACCTCTGGACACACACCGTCACTGAATCTTAGTGGTAACACCAATCTTAGAGGACCTACACAGAAACAACCTATGACATACTAGGTTATACATCAGACACAGATTCTGCTCCACAAAAATTTATAAATCCTGAAAAGTTCTTCTTGAAGAAGTATCTCGGTAATGTATCAGAATCCTTTGAAAGCCTACTTGATACATATATATAAGATTTGAGTGGGAGCTCTCTCAAAACTAACATGATTTTCATATTTTGACCGTCTTTTACTTATCTTTTTCTTCATCGGTACACAGGTTAACAAGCAAAGGATAGTGCAATTCACTGGTTCTAAACTTGGGAGCCAATTAAGTGACAGCTTCCTCGATCGCCTCAACAACCATTCGAACCATTTAAAACATGAAATTGAGTGGTTGCAGCGCGCACACCTAAGTTTGAGCTACTGCATTTGGGTATGGCCTCGAGCATTGTGGGAGCTGACAGTCCACAAGAAATTAACGCAAGTAATGACACGACATCTGACAAGATAAAACTGCAGATGGAGCTTTCTAAGGTTAGTTGTTTCGACCCGTCACCGATTAGAGAGATGTTCAGTGATAAGCTTAGGATGGTAGACCAGTTGCCCTCTGCTAATCCGTGCTGAAAATATCTCTGAGATCTAATTCCCCCTTAAACGCGTTGAAAAAAGTACTGATACTGCTTACTGAGGCAAGGAGTTCCAGTTGTCAACCACACGATGGAAGAAACGTAGATTAATAAAGGGTAGGTACCAAAATTGTGGCAAGGCTTTTCGAATCTGGGTGAGTTCGCCCAAAGTTGATTCGATTGCGGTCTTTGGATTTTCTCGTGATGCTTTCGGAGATGACCGGTTCTAAAACTGGAGGAAAAACAAGGCATATCAGTACGAAAGTCTTTATTAAGGATACGGAATGCTAGTATATCACCCTGTTTACTACGGTGACAGTGGAAATAAGGTGAGCCAATCTAGTCGTTCCTCATATGGCAGATTCGAAAGGCTTGTCACAATTTTAGTACCTACCCTTTGAACACGCTCGAGTTGGTCATCATGTGTTTTTAGGCATGGGCTGGCCGCCTGAATCAGTATTCCAAGGTGTAACATATGTAGAATAGAGTATTCTAAACATATCCTTAAAGCTGTTTGGATGGACCACAATATATGGTAGCTGTTTGCCGCAGCTGCAAAACAGTGCATCGAGGTTTTCAAATCATGACATGATGACACCTAAGTCTTTCATTTCAAAGACTGGGAATAGTGGTATACCATCAACGAAATACCTGAAACAATTGCTCTGACCAATGTGCTTTATTGCACTTTAACACAGCTGGTTTCCAGGCACCAAAGTTTGGGTCAGCCTACCAGTTCATCCAAATCCTGTTGAAGTGCATACCTGTCAGTGTCACAACATATGGCTTTCCAAACTTTTACATCATCGGCGAATAGTTGGGCATTTGTGGTAATTCGTTGACATACAACAAGAAAAATAAGGGACCTGGGATTGTTCCTTGAAGAACTTCAGTCACCATAGGTTTCCACCCGGACAGTATCCCATTAAACTTGATTGCTTTTCATCGTACAGAAGGTCCGTAATCCAGGCTTGCAATGCAGCACTGAATCCAAAAGAGGAGAGCTTTCCTAGAAATTCCGCATGTGACTTTTTATTGAATGCCTTACTGAAGTCCATAAACACGACATCTATTGGCAGTTTGCAGTCATGGGCTCCAACCCATCCCTTTCTCACGATAAGGAAGTTTGTGAGACATGAGTGCCCAGTACGAAAGCCGTGCTGGTATGGTGCCAAAAGATTAGTTGATTCAAGGTGTTTAATCAGCTTATCACGAATTATTTTTCCTAAAACCTCAATAACCATGCTAGTTAGATTCATACGGGGGTAGTTAACCGCCAGCTGGCGACTGCCACAAAAACTGCGCTGATTATGGTATCTTCTCAGTCTCTAGGAAGGCGAGTCTGAGATAAGGACATATTGAAAAATCAGTGACTGCATCAGAAACAATGTCCGCTAGCAAGGAAAGCAGTCCGGGGTGCAACTCCTCGGGACCCGGGGATTTTCTGGGTTTAAGATTAATGAGCAACTTTGAGACTGTTCCCTTCGTTATGAGCACTGTATCCACTGATGAGGCAGTGCCGATACCACCATTGGGCACTTTACCATCATGATCAACAGACTATCGGACTTTCCACCCGTCATCAGAAGGGGAGTTCCACATTTTCTTTCAGTCTTGATGAATGCGAACAGTCCTTTAGGACAGTTTTGGCAATCATTTACAAGCTGTTTGTCGTAGGACATTCGAGACTGTATACTCAAAGTTTTGCAGAAATCACCGATCACACAATACCCAGTTATAAATGTTTCCAGTCCAGTTTTTTAAATAGGCCCCATAAACGTTTGCTCCACCTTACTAGTTTCTGAGTGTCCTTATTAAGCCACGGAAGTGATTCAACCTTTTCAGGGGAGTAGAAAAGTGGTGCCATGTCTGAGCGACTTGGTAAGTGACAACAATCTGTCTGTCGTATGATGAAATCAATAAATATTTGATTTTTACTATTTAGTCATACACCGTCCAAGTGGGAAATTAGGTTATGCATAATAGCTTAGTTCCATTTGTCAAGTCTGAGTGTTTCTGTGCATGACTTACTTCCTAAGCCAAAGAGAGACAAAGAAAATCAACATATGTTGATACATCTTCAGTATTGTGATTGATTGAGTCATATCACAGCCTCCGACAAGTGATTCCCAACGTCTTGAGGAACGCAGGAGAAAAACTTTCTAAATAACTTCAGTATTGTTAAAGTTGACCTTGTGACCTGGTATTATGACATGTACAGCTACGGGTGGTGTTTTTTCAAGCTTTGCGGATTGTGCTATATTTCTACGTGGTCTGATGGGAGCTCTTTGGTGGTCATCTTTTTAAATCTTGATTTCACGGGTTTTGTCTCGTATATACTGCTCCACATTCTAAGCATTTTATTTTATGAATACAACTCGATTGTGAATCCTAGAAAATCTTGTGTATGTATACTAAATTTCTCTGTAGCGTCTTCTATCTTGTAAAACACTGATATTCCATTTATTGAACATTCTCCCAATCTTATAAGAAATATGTAACCTGCATAGAATGACTTGTTGTGTTCCATGGTTTAGGAGTACTTTTCTGGTCTCGTTCAATGTTATTTCCTAATTTACGAACTGAGTTAACTGAATAATTCCTCAATTTGGAGATTTGGGTCATTTTCATCTGTTATCAGTGCTCTGGTTAAACAACTGAAGGCAACAAAAACGTTTCCACTAATGGAGTTTAATGAATTAGATCTAATTATTGCTTCGAGTGTATTGCTTTCGGGAAAATAGTCATGTCCAAATGTCTGTTTTCTTTACGCCTAACTAGACTATCAATGAAGAGTAGTTTGCCATGGTTTGAGTCTGCTTATGAGCTAAGCTTGATACTGGATGGTGCAGTGTTAAACTTGTTGAAAAATACATAGTGTTTATCACGTTTCAAAACTACCAATGTTTCGTCAATGTGTTAGTTAGTTTTTCCGTTTCAAAATGGTAAGACACTAAATTTACACAAACGGGTGTTCTGTTATGGGTAATACAAGTGAATCTATGGCTATCTCGTTGTTTTACCGACACATTTCTCCCTTAAATTCAGTGTAATTGATTTTTGAGCAAAATTTTGAGGCTTCAATTATTCCACTGGTATTTATTGAATATCTTTCTGCAAGAGTTGGGTCTGAGTTTAATAACTTAGAAATTATACCTGGGCTTTCATCAAATGGATTGCTAGTATATGATAGATTAATGTCATATATTCCAATAATTTTATCTTCTTCGAGTTTTAGTGTTTTTTATTTTTGAAGTTCGACGACTTACTAATTGTTTTTTGAGTGGGGTCTTTAATATGGAAGATTGATGTCCACAGATGCTGTATGTTAGTGTTGGTTTAAGTGATAAATTGATCCTACTGAAGCAGGATTTTAGTGGATGTTTGGTGAACCTTAGAATCTTGAAGACATGTAAGACTTATGTTTGAGTTTGGATCAAGTGTAGTCGATTTTGGGGTTTTAGTTCTTGAAGTAGCTCACATGTTCTCAGTTTCATTTTATTCAGTTTAGCGAATCTTTTCGTTTCATCAATTGATGAAATGGTCCCTTTAATGGGTATCCGGTCACCTTATAAATCTTTTCCTTTCGTAATAGCCGTTATTTTACTTTTATCCACCTTTACTACTAAAGTGTCTTCGTCTTCAAAATCTTGAGACTCCCGTTTGACGATATGAGAGAATTTTTTGTCATGAGAACGAGTGATTTTTTTTACACACAGTTTGGGCTTCATCATTCGGCAGTGATTCCAACTCTCACCCGATAATCGGTGCTAGTTTGTGAATCATTAATGGCTTTATATTGACACTAAGATTCAGAACTTTCTGTAATAGTGTTATTTCATTTTCAGTTAGAGGCTTATCTAAGATGTATGTTGATTTAAAAGTCTTCATATCATTCACAGGTGTTTTGAAATGCTCTAGTTCCGTTAATTCAGAAAGCAATTTTTTTTAGACGTTACAGAAATGTTACTAACCTTCTTGGTACTGTTTATGAGTAGATTTCAGCTTATCAGGTGTAACCCCTTTTGAAAAACGTACTTCAGTACTTTTACCCCATGCCCCATGAAATTCAAGCCTGACAGTTCTATTGTGCATTATTTTAGGACAAAATATGCAGGAGATCTTTTGCTTCTGGTGTACACTTATGGGGATATTTAAGGGTGTTAACACAAAGATTCAGAAGTGATCCCATTCTGTAGACAACGCAAGTTGAAAATACGATAATGGCAGAGGTTACATGTGTTTCGGGGGGGGGGGGACATAATCCAAGTTTCGTTTTCCTTCATTGGTAAGTACAAGTGTTTGAATAATGAGATCATTTATATTTGAACGACTACAGGTAAATCCATCACTGTATACCTCCCAAGTTGGCTACGTGTTTGCGCTAGATCTTAATGGGCGATTAAGTTCATTGTTACCAAGTGCTACTGGTTGGCTATCAAAATATATTGGCTGTAGGGTAGATAATACTGATCATGTTAGTCACCTCCACCCATCAGGTTGACTGGTGTTAGTCAGCATGTGGAAACCACATATCATCCCCTCTAACTGGTTTTGATTACTGATCGCCCGAGTCTTTAAGAAAAAGAAATTCTCCTGTGATGACCATTGGGGAATCAGTCTAATGAAAATAAGGCCTAAAATCTTAGGTTCCGTTGTTACTAAATGTCTAAGTAAAGCTTGGGAACAGCAAATCCGGGAAAACCATGCAGGCTTTAGATCTAGTCGTCAGTGTATTGACTAGATACTCACTTTCCATCAGGTCTTGGAAAGCAGACACACTTACCAGCACTCGGCACTTGCTGTGCTTCTTCATCTGTAGCTGGGATTAGGTCCCATCGATCAAGATGTTTCCTAACAGTATCTACCACTGAAATATTTTCGGCTAAATACATTACTCTTCTGAATACTCCATACTCGAACAATCGTTGGTTTGTTGGAACCTATGGTCAGGTATCAGATGACTTGTATGCGCCTAGTGGTGCTCAGTAAGGATGTCCAATCTCTCCATTTTTGTCCAGCTTTATCAAAGATGCACTCCTAAACAACTCCCTTTTGTCATTTGATCTTACAGGGATCTATCTTATCACAGGAGAATCTTTGGCAGATCTAGAGTATGTAAATGACATATTCCTGTTGGGTGAAGTTGCTGACAAGATTTAGTCTCCTAGACACCTTGAATGGCAGTTGATAAATGTTTGAGAAGCATTTCTCGTCACACAAATGCAAATTGTTGCTCCAGGACTGGTCTTCGATGTTGCCTCATTTAGCAATAGGGAATGGAATAGTTGAGCGCGTTGACCACTCCACTTACCGAGGAAGTCGATTCAGGCTTGGTGGATCAGTGACTGACGAAATCTTTGCACGGATACAAAAAGCTTGCTTGGCTTTTGCCAACTGTAGCGTCACCATGATTCCCGACTGCCTATCAAGGTCTGAACGTACTGCACTGCAGTTTGCTCTGTCCCACTATATGGCCACTAAAGGTAGGAGATATGAAGTTTCAGGTGTTCGACCACAGGCCGTACATCCTGGTGTCACCACGTCAGTAACGTAGAGGCCGAGCGTTGCGTTTTTTGTAAGGAGAGGAAAGTCAGTTGACGAGGTTGTAAACCTTCATCTCTCAGCTAGCTGACACATGTGTTACACACGCCTAGTCATCGTCTGCCTTGTTGCTTAGTGCTAACTAATGTAGGTTTAAGTCGGGAAAAGGTTGGGAGTGGCTAGACTATCGATTTGAACCATGTAGGGAAGTATATACTTTTTGGTTGCAGTCCGCGTGACAACAGAAACCAGTAGTTTCAGACTCGATCTCAGTTGCGCAGATGTATTCACACGTTATCTTCATCTTAGAAGTTATTCCAGTATTCAGTATTGTCTCATTCCTTCTTTCTCTCTTTTCGTTACTTTCAGCCGCCTTTGTCTGCCTTCTTCCCGATCTCCTATTTTTCTTGGTGTCTTCTGGCTTTATGTGAATTTCGACAATTTGGACTGGTAATCAGTAATTCCAATCTCCTTGTTGATGCTGGCTGACATTAATTCGCTTCTGAGTATTCCACTGACTAACTTTTTTCTGCAAGTCTTGAGTGACTTTTCATAATAATGTCAAGCAAACTCTTCACTTCCTTTTTTGTGGAACCCTGATATACAGATCCACCTATAACCACAGCTTTAAAGCGATAATTGCAAAACTACGACCTGCAGTCATTTTTGCTGTTATCCACATGAACTTAGAGCAGGGTGCGATTTCTGAATGAATGGTCTGGATCACCAATCGCAGTTGTGACGTTCGTCATCATGTCACCATTTTCGCAGTCTCTAGCCTGTTGCTGTGGCAGTGATGAGCCACACTTGTTGTGTGAGGGCGTGACACTATTTGACTCCCCACACCTCAGTGAGTGGAGCGGGGTTGAACCAATGACTTACAGCTTGGAAGTAAACTATCCAAACTAATGTCACTGTAGCAATAGACTTAAAGTAATACAAAAAGATATCGTTTATGATGTGAGGAATTCCGGATAAGTGGAAGTGGAGCTGTGGCCCATTGGTTTAAGAAAATGACTACCAACCAATGGGTCACGGTTGAGTGCCCCGCCCCACCTGCCGAAGTTTTGGCAGCCAGGTAGTATCATCAGCCCTCACAAAATAGGAGTGGCTCATTGCCTACTCCATGGATGTGCACAAGGTCGCTGAGTGTGTTTCATTCGTTCGTTTCGTATCAGTGAAAAGTGAGATTTATAGTCATCAAAAGCTATCAAGGTTTTGTTTTGCTGTATTCACTCATAACTTTTAGATAAGACAGTAGTTACGGGAATATGTTTGTGTACCGTTTTGTGTTTTCTAGTCGTGTTTGTTAAACAGTTAAATCAATAATCAAGAACCTATTAATCATGACAATGATCTTTTGATTCCCACTTTTCGTATTTAAGGTCTTATAATGGCAGTGTTAAAAATAGAAATATAGCATTTATGTTACTGTTGGTCGTTGGTAGTGATGTGCAAACAGTGTGAATGCGTTTTGAAGGTCTACGAAAACCGTATTAAGGTGAAGATCACCCAGGAGAAATTTGGCTACATAGAAAATTGATAGGTGAATAAGTCGGTGGTGCTATTCACATATCTATCACATCCATGTCAACGTATTTGACGTTCTCTTTTTTATGGTCCCTATATGCAAAATGTTTCACTTTGTTTCATTTTTATTTCTGTCTCGATCAACCATTCCATTTGTTCCCCTTTTCTTTACTATTATATCCGGATTGAAATATAAAGTGTTACCCTGAAATCTTTCACTTTGACGTAGGTAATTATTTTCGGAAACAGTTTTGTGTGAGGATGCGCGCGCTTAGTGGTTGTCGTCTGAAAAATAAAAAGCACATTAATGAGGTGGGTGAAAAATGGAAATTCAGTACTTCGGAAATAAGACCACTGATTCCTAACATCTTAGCAACCCTAATCCGGCAACCTAAACTTCTCTAAACGGCTCAGTTTGTCATTTAGTGACTTCGTAAATGATTGGCATATTTCAATCTACCTACCTTTAACTATTTTCCAATCTAATCCCACCTCGGTTAACATAAAACAGTACACTGGAGTATGTATTTGCACGGTACATGTAACATCTCTAAGTGTGCAAGTTCAAAACCTTATGGATTGATTCACCTGGAACTATACTCGCCACCTCAATATTAATCTCCTAGCAACTTCACCAAATGCGAGCAGTGCTATGAAAACGCTTACAGACAGAAAATTATAACCCCACGTTTTTCACCTCTGCAATTTTACCACAGGTGTGTAGGGTTGCATTGTAGCATACACAAGAGTTGGACATCTCTCTCGTGTCGGAAATCAGGTTGAAACATTGACTGTTGGTTCATTTGTAGGTAGAAAATGCGTCAATCCTACGACCAGCTAGTGAGAACTGCTCGAACATTTTATAGACAGCTTTTTTAAATCTTAGGTTTTCTCACCTCCAATATTTACTTCTTTCGTAGGTTGAAGATGAAATCCGCCTCCTTCAGGAAACCCTTGCTGTAAAAATACGTCGATCTAATGAGATCAAGAAAAGTCTTGGATACACTTCACTTTCAACACTACAATATGACCTCATGCAAGGTATTCACAAATTAGAGGATACAGAAGCGTAAGTAGTGTATACATGTACTGCCTTAAACATTACTTTCATCCCACCTGAGACTGAATATACCACCAGGTTAAATCAAGATGAAGAACATCATACCGGTTACTGCCAGTACGGTTCCCTGGAAATAGCGTCCACTTTTTCTGCCACTTGATGAGGGTTTCCACCGTGCTACTGATGCTTGTCATAATAGAATTTATCGTACTTGAGTGAAGTGCTGCTGACTGACAAAATCAGCATAAAGCCTCGCACACAGGTGCATTGGTTCAAGTTGCCACACTTCATAGTAGTACACGAACAAAAGGTGAATAGAAAAAGAGTGATATCAAAGAAGATAAAGTATTGTGAGAGCATAGTCAAGCCTTAGTTGTCAATGAGTAAATACATCAGCACCATCGTGACCGATTTCCAGTCATTTCACTAAGTGTCCTCAACCACTGATTCCTTTCGCCTCGGAGACCCCGACCAGCCTGCCCCGCCGTCACACGACTCAGGCTAACAGTCGCGGACTCCATCGACTTGTATCAGGTCTTAATTTTGCTACAGAAATAAGAGTAGTCCGTTAATACGGTTATTGATTTTGTAATCGATGTTTCATGGTAGGATAAGACCTCAAGGAATAAATGTTCAAGTTAGTATAATCAAACCAAGCCAGTATGTAAAGCAAAGATGACAGCTAGAAAGACATGAAATTCACTATTTGTCATCAGTGATGACGCGTTTGTGCTTATCATATGCTGTTGTCACTGTATTAACCGAGGAACTGTCAAAGCTTTCATTCATCCAAAATATGTTCTATCTTCTGATTAGTCGAATACTACGACATTCAAAAAACTTATTTTAAGAGTTTGTAGAACTCATGAAAGTAAACAGTATAGAACTGATCAAAATGTGGTTAATATCTCAGTGGCATTAAAAAGTAGTTGATCTAGTCTCTACTAACTACACTTAATGAGTATATGATATTTCATTTGTTCTGTATTTACTTGCTTTAGGCTTATAGTAGAGCTGTATCTTAGAAATATGCGGCAGATTGAATCATTGGGTTGTGTATTGAAACCCATTTTACATACTCTATTCCTACAAAACCCATAACTTGCTTAACCGTTACACGATAATAACAGCTCAAACTCCTGTATACAAATCATTAAAAAGTTAGTGTGCTTATCACTTTAGATTCAGATCACCGCAAATATTATTTTATTCCAAAAATTGTGACATGAATTTAAATTTTTCACTAATCGACAAAAACATTTCAATATTAACAAAATGAATGCCAAAGTTTAACGACTTCGCGGAATATAGTCTGAAAACACATACAATACACAGTTAGTATTATCAACAATGAATAGATAAATGTCTTGCTTGAACAATCATCTATTAAACCTACTCACTGAATGTCTTTTCACCTGCCCTAGAAGGCCTTTTTTCACGGATATCCAAGATGTATAGAACCAAATTAAATTTGACAATTATTGATCTAACTGACCATAAATAGTAACCTAATGAAGTTACTGCAGATATGCTGTCTAAACAACCACTAAAAATCACTTTTCTTTATCCTGTGTCTGAAAATTTAACAATACCACCTCATGGCTCTTATAAGTGGAACCTAGGACTGTGGACTCTATTTGACTAATAGCATATTCAATTGAATTCGTACGCGGAGCTGTGGATCCATTGGTTTAAGGAAATGGTTTTCAACCCCAATGGACCCGGGGTTCAAAACCGGTTTCACCTACTGAGGTTTGGGTGGCTCATTGCCTACTGCACGAGTGTGCACAAGGTTGCCGAGTTCACTCCTCTTCTAAATGAGCATCATCTCCCTTTTTTCCTCTTCGGTATTGCCATTACAGATTACTCAGCTCTAAGTCACAATTCGTTTTTAGAATCTAGAGTACCTTTATTTGATCAATGACAGTGATAAAACTTGCTGAAATGTGTTTAACTGTTTTGTTTTCTTGATTTATTTAGATATATGAAAACTAGTGAAATTTTGAGCAAAGCTAAGGATAGGACAGTGATTGTAGCACACGATGCCAAGGAGAAAGTGGAATCAACTATTTCTGCTATCCGGTAGGTTAATTTTATCATTTATAATCATGTGATATTACCTATCCTCTGTTGATTATTACAGGAATTCAGAAGTTGTTAAATCACTCAACAACAAAGTTGGCTCTGCCTTTTCAACAGTCAAGGTAAGTTTTGTAGACACCTGTTTTCTTCATTATAATGATCTGTATCAGTGTAACCTACTGATTGACTTAATGCTAGTTAAAGTCTTAGGAAAGTACACACTAAGATATCATTACAATATGGTCAGCATCTTCCGTTTGATTTTTAAAATTACACATGAAGGTGTTTTCTAAACACTGAGCGAAAATCTTAGTGCTTGGTTTGCGCTTCGCACTTGTCAAACGTCGTGTGATGCATTAGGACTAATCTGCACTGTATCCTAGTTTACGAGCGAGGTATAAAGTAATGGAATGCGTTGACTACGTCATTTACTTGGGAAGTTGTATCATCTCGAATAGGCTGGTTCCTGACGTGATATCAGCTTGGATACAAAAGTTCCGTTTTGTTCATCTCAACTGATCCCGATGAAATATCTGACTGCGAATCAAGAAACGAGTATACTGCGCATCATTCCACTTTTTTCTGCTACACAACTAGAAGACATAATCCTTCTTAAAAGGAAGACATGAACAGTTTACAGGTTTTTGACCATCAACATCTTCGTAGCGTTGTTTACGTGTGTTGGAATCATTATGTGAAGTGTTTAGGTTAACCAAGTAACACAAGTCAATCAATGTTGTGAACATTCACTGACTGAGGTGCAAGTGGCAGTTCATCGTCTGTCTTATTATGCGATGTTGACCGAATTAAGATTAAACTAAATGGTCAAACCAAGACGTGGTACCAGTCCATGAAGTCTTTGACTGTCACTTTAGGTTGTGTATGCTGTCTGGGTATGAGGTTTTCGGGATTTTAGGAATATTTGGTTTTCGATCACTGTGGTGCAGACGCACACACTTTTCGAAATTTCGAACATTTTTTATAAACTTTCATCTATTCTTTCTCTAAAACGCTTTTTATCTACTCTTAGGAAACTCGCAAGCTAATCAGTTTTTGACAGTGTTGTCAGTTTTCTGCATTCACTGGAATGACTTATAATTATACTGTAATGCAACTCAAAAACCTTATAGGGGGAGGTTCGCGAAAGCAGACGAAATCAACGTAGAACCTCCCAAAGAAGTGAATCATTTCAAGTTGCCACACCTCATAGTAGCATCCAAAGAACGAGTGGATAGAAGAAGACTGATATCGAAAAAGACAGGTGTATGAAAAGAGAAAGAATTTAAAATGAAGGTCAGTCAAAACATTCAAGATTTGGCAAATGTCAAAGACTGAGTACGTCTGCATCATTGTGACCGGTTTTCAGCCACGTTACCGAGGTTCTCCAACCATTGATTCTTATCATCTCGAGGACTCCAAACGGGTAGTCTGCACCTCCCCATAAGGCTAAGACCAAGAGTCAGAAACTTCATGGACTAATGCTGCGTCTTAATCTGGCCACTCTGAAACCTAGTCCAACTCCTTCAGGCATTACAATTCATGTCAAGGTAAAAGGTGGCTTGCCATGCGCAACATATGTCCAAGCCACCCCAGTCGATGAAGGTTCACCACCTTATGACCGATTTGCCTGTCTTGCATAGTACCCTTTGCCTAACCTCTACATTGCTCACGCGATTCCACTATATGCGAGCAATTCTAAAACAACATCTACGGTCAGAAACTTGTAATCCGTTTACATCTTTCGGCAACCATGTATCACAGACGTTTTAATACGGCACAGCGAAATGCAGTGTATTGTACTCATCCTTTAACCGGTGGTCGGATATCTAGCCAGTCGGCACCAGAAATGATACAAACTGTCGAATGCCGTACAAGCCTTCTGTATCTGAAATTTCATCAGCAACCGGTTCATTGGGTTTATATAACTCCCCAAGTGGAGTACCTGACGCTTTCTGCCACTCCACTCCCTATCTTTAAACTGGGAATATTTGTAGACCAGTTCTGAAGCATCAACTTACATTCACCTAATGCATGCCAGACATAGATTTCTGGTCAAGCACTCAGAAAACTCTGCATCTTGTCAGCATCAATATCGTCTACGTATTCCATTTCAACCAGATTCTCTCCGGATAGTAGATAAATTACTGTGTAATCAGAGGTACCTAAGGTGATGTTCATTAGGGTATCTATAGCAAAGCTGAACAGGAATGATGACAGCAAACATCCCAGCGGTCATCCCTAGTTGTCGTCAACTCAGGTGACAACTCTTCATAAGCTCTTTAACACCTGTTTGAATTTAAGTAGAGAGCTTTGTTTAATGTTACATACTTGTTCGGTATCCCTTTGAGAGTCAGACGCTGCTACAACACCTGACGGTCAACAGAATCAAATAGCACCTTCAGGTTAAGAAATATGGCTATTTTTGCCCCTGATAAGTATACCTGTGTTCCATAACTTGTCGCAGAGTGGAATTCCGATCGAAGCACTTCCTTCCAGATCTGAAACCTCCCTGGTTTTCTCGAGGTCCAGTTAGACGTCAAATAGCTATGAACCCTATGATCTCAGATATAATATTGATCAAACTGGTTCCCCTATGGTTGTCACAGGAAGACTTCTTTCCCTTTTTGTAGACTGGAATGATCAGTGAAGTAGACCGGTCTGGCGGCGCTCTCTGATTCCAATGCACTACCTAGTACTTCCGTCGCTGTAATTAGCAGTTTCCTACCTCCATCATTGATAACTTCGGGTGACAAACCGTCAGGTTCTTCTGCTTTGCATTGTTTCAGACTCGACACAGCCTTCTCAACTTCGATGAAAGTTGTAGGACCAACATCTACGCCCCATTCAGGTTCAGACTATATGTTGGACAATTGGGATGTTGCTGTGGGCCAGTTAAACTGTTCTTCAGTGTGTTCAGCTCGACGTTCTAGCCGCTTGTCATGGTGGGTTATCAGCATCCAATACTTTTCGGTGATGGTCTCATTCACCACCGTCCTCTTCTTGCCAACATTCTTTCTAAGCCTAAATAATTACCACGTATCACCTAATGCTGATGCCTTCTCCATCTCCCCCCCCCCCCCGCCCCACCCACTACTGCTTTTGGTCATTGGAAAGACCCTTAGTTAATTTACGTTTCAGCTGCTTTCGCTCTTCATTGTAGTCACAGCCAGCTAGAATGAGTCTTTAATATAGGTGTAAAATTTGGGCACTGTGGTGGAATTTAATTCTATATTAGATTTATTTATTTGATTTATGACACAGTGATCTAGTATTATTTACTTGATGATGTTTCGAGCATAAATTATTGCTCACATTGATGATGAGCAATAATTTATGCTCGAAACATCATCAAGTAAATAATACTAGATCACTGTGTGTTATAAATCAAATAAACAAATTTAATATAGAATGAGTCTTCTTTTATCAATCAGTTTGGATAATGTTACGAAAATGCAATGACTTTGGTAATTTTTAGATGTAGGTTATCGACTGTCTTTACCGCTGTTTCTACAGCATACTTAATATCACGCCAGGTTTCCTCAGGATGAGCATTGTTGTTACGTCCAGATACGTGCTTAGCTATCTCTTCCCTAAGCTCGGAATTGTCGTTCTCACCTTCCAATCGAGAATAGATAGGCTTCACTGCCACCTGTTTTTTGTAAGCAGTAAAGCATAGATATACACGAGCCCGTACTGGCGCGTGTTCGGAGTCCACACTGGTGCTTTAAAAAGAGCGGCAATCTTCCAAAAATAGCTTATAGCAATATGGTCTATCTGTGCCTATCGTTGGTTTGAAGTCAGTGGAAGCTATATGAGACTGTCTCTCCTTATGCCTAGAGTTAGTGCTGGCCGGAAACGAGTGTTTGTCGGAACAATCTTGTAACAAACAATCACTGTTGTCTGTTCGTTGACATGAGATTCCGTAAGTACCCCAAGATGCCTTTCCGTTTGTGTTAACCTCCCCACGTAAGCGTTAAAGTTGCCTGGTATTATGACTATCTGAACGTTTTGCTTTCCGTGGCAAAATCGACAGCTCATAGAATTCATCCTTTTCATCATCCAAACTTCAGTCGATGGGTGCTTATGCTGCGAGCTCGAGTAGGCATCTGTTAGTCTTACGATTCTTTCTAGTTCTTACAGATCCATTCAGTCAAACAGTTTGCAATGTGACCAGTTTCATCATCTAACTAAAAAATACAGTACACCACAGTCCATCACTTGGCCTAGTGTTTACATTAGACTTCGGTCGCTGCTTAGTACTACGGACTTACTAAACAGCTACATCAGTTATCCACTGGTGACCGACTCTCGTACCCACGAATTTTGCTAGTGCAAGTGTTTCGGTGGCGGCAAAATTTATTTCTTTGAATCGAATGCTGCAAATGATGAGATAGTGATTCGCAGTAGTGCGATTGTGAAAATAATGCCACCCACACAAGAACATAACATTCGTATGGTAGAGTACTCTAGCATTTCTGATTGAGTAACAATGATTAGACTTCTCACTGTTTAACCAGATTTTATTCGTGATCGCTTATCTAAACTGTACTATAATATTTCACTTTTGTGTGTTAACTAAAATATGTGTATTACTTTCAGATACTTTGTTTGGATAAGTTTCCCCATGTACCAGCTATTACATGGAATCCTTCTAGAAAGATGATTCGTGTGCGTCGATATTAATTTTATGTACTGAGTTTACGCATGCATATGCATGTATATACTTCTATGATGTAATTAGTCAGTGTCTGTATGTCTACAAAAATGTGTTGTATAAGTATATTGACCGTATCCTTGTTGTGATGTCTGATTGTATATGATATTATATTATTAATATTATTATTATTAGTCCCTTGGGTTCCTAGTGGAACATAGGGCTTCAGTAGCACGCCTCCAGTGACCTCTGTTCTCTGAGATCTTTTGAACCTTGTCCCACGACAGCCCAGAAGCTCTCATTTCCTCCTCGCACGACCTCCTCCATGTCACCCTTGGACGTCCAACTCGTCGCTACCCATGGGGATTCCACTCGAGGGCCTGACGCGTGATGTCCTCAGTCGGCCTTCTCAGTGCATGGCCAATCCATCTCCACTTCTTCCTGCATATTTGTTGCGTGATAGGTTGTTGGTTGGTTCGTTCCCAGAGCTCCTTGTTGCTCATTCTTTCTGGCAATCCATCTGATCTTCAGTAGGGAGCCAACGTAGGCAGTTGTTGATGAATGTCTGTAGTTTATTGGAAATGCCTTTCGTGACGCGCCAAGTCTCTGAACCATACAAGAGCACTGACTTGACTGGGTTGGTGTTGAAAATCCGTATCTTGTTCCGCATGCTGAGTGCAGAAGATCTCCACACTGGTTCCAGGCTAATGAACGCCTGTCTTGCTTTTCCGATTCTGACTTTGACGTCCTCGTCTGTGCCGCCTGTACTTGAAACAGTGCTTCCTAGATAAGTGAAGGAGGTTACTTCCTTTAAGTTCCTCCCGTTGACGGTGATTGGAGTTTGTTGTTGTTGTTGATGGTGGTGGTGCGGTATCTTCATCACTTCTGTCTTCTCTATATTCACCTGGAGTCCCGTCTTAGCTGCCTCTTCTATCAACTTGTTAGTTTTTGCCTGCAGATCTTCAAGTTTATGTGACATTAGGCACAAGTCATCGGCGAAATCCAAGTCTTCTAGGTTCTTTTCCGCAGTCCAGCGTATCCCCCTCTTCTCGCTGCCTACTGTTTGCTGCATGATCCAGTCCACCACAATAAGGAATATCATGGGTGATAGTAGGCAACCTTGTTTCACTCCTGTCTTCACTTCACTTCGAAGGCATCACTGAGCTTCCCATTGTGAATTACTTGGCATGTGGCATCTTCATATAGTTGTTGAATGAGGCGGATAAAGGTTTGCGGTACTCCGTAGTATTGAAGCAGTTTCCAAATTACTTCTCGTTCGACGCTGTCAAAGGCCTTCTCAAATTCGATGAAGTTGAGGTAGAGAGCTGATTGCCATTCTATGCTCTGTTCTATGATGATGCGTAGTGTAGCGTTGCAATTTGGTCAGCACATGATTTGTACTTCCTGAAGCCTGCCTGTTCCGGTCGCAGTTTTGAATCCAGTACATCTTTAGGCCTCTCCAGGATGATGCGGCTTAATATTTTACTTGGGGTGGACAGGAGAGTGATTCCGCGCCAGTTCTTGCAAGCACTGAGGTCTCCCTTCTTCGGCAGTTTGACAAGGTAACCCTTCTTCCAATCGTCAGGTACCTTCTCTTCCTTCCACACCTTCTGCAATAGTGGTGTGAGCATGTCCGCTGTTGTCTCTGCATCTGTTCTCAGTGCTTCTGGCGGTATTCCATCTGGTCCTGCTGCTTTCCCGCATTTCAGTAGCTTTATGGCGTTCAGGACTTCCATTTTCGTTGGGGGATTTATGTTCACTTGTAATTCAGCGGCTGCAGGTGGTATTTCTGGACGAAGTGCAGGTGGTGGTCGATTCAAGAGCTTCTTGAAGTGGTCGGCCCATCGTTTCCTCTGTTTCTCTTCTCTTGTAATCAAATTTCCTTCTTCATCTTTTATTGGTTTCATCTGTGTTGGTCTCTTCCCTGATAGCAACCTGGTTATTTGATACAATGTTGTCAGGTCTCTCGAACCAGCCCTCAGCCTGTTCTGCCTCACTTGCCAGTGTGTCGCAGAAGTGTCTTTTGTCTTTGCGAGCACTCTTCTTCATTTCTTTGTCCAGTGTTTTGTACGTTGTACTCAGTTTCTCTTCCCGTCGTTCATCCTTGCACTGGTTCATCTTCTACTTCACCATCCTCCTCTCACTGCTCTATCAGCTTCCATGTGTCCATCGAGATCCATTCCTTATCTTCTTTCTTCTTCCTTCCTAATACTGTTGTGCAGGTTTCTTTCCACATAGCCTTCAAAGACTTCCAGTGTTCTTCCACACAGGTTTCTTTGGGGATGTTCCTCGATATCTCCCATTTTGTCTTGATGGCTGGCTGACGTGAAGATCTCCTTTGTAGTCTCATCCCTCAGTTTCCGAGTGTTGTACTTGGACTGAGGTCTATCACCAGCTTCCTTGAAGGCTTTTAACTTGATTTGGAAGGCAGGTTCCTTGCACTAGACAGTGAGTGGTCTGAACCTACATCTGCTCCTCTTCTTGACCTTGTGTTAAGTAGACTGCGTCTCCATTTTCTTGAGATTGAGATAAAGTCGATTTGATTTTTAGTGTGTCCATCTGGTGAAATCCATGTCGCTTTGTGGATATCTTTGTGCCTGAACACACTGCCTCCAATCACCAAATCGTTGAATGCGCAGAATTCTGCAAACAATTCTCCATTCTCATTCATTTCACCTAGCGCCTCTCGACCCATGGTTAGTTCTCTTCCCGTGTTGTCCCCTCCCAGTTTGGCATTCATGTCACCCCAACCATCAGAATTTTGATATCGCCAACTGACGTCTTGTCCAGTGTTGATTGAAGTTGTCTGTAGAAATCCTCCTTTTTCTCTTGCTCTGCATTATTTGTAGGTGCATAACATTGTATGATTGTGACCTTTCTTCCTTTTGAGTTGAATCTTGCTGTCATGATCCTGGAGGAGATTGGTTCCCACTGCATGAGAGCCTTCGATGCTCTTGAGGACATCATGATAGCCACTCCCTCAGTGTGCTCGTGGTTGGCGTCTGGGTGACCGGAGTAGATTATTGATTCTCCAGTTGACAGTTTGGAGAGTCCACTCCCATTCCATCTACTTTCGCAAATCCCAAGCACTTCGATGTGATACCTTCTCATCTCCTTTGCAATCTGGGCTGCCTTACTGGGTTCAAACATAGTGTGGACATTCCATGTCCCCACGTTTATTTTCGCTTTCATCGAGAGAAGAGAAGAGACATGGGGTAGTTGGCTTCCCGAAGGCTTTCACCAACTGGTGTCATTTCGCCTCTCCGATTCCAGCGGGGAATAAGTTTGTTTTCATTTTTTATATTTTGTTTGTGCTTTGAAGTTTGTTTAGCGGTTAGATTTGTTTTACGGGGTAGGGTTGCTAGCCCTATGCCCAACCTTCCCTCTTTATGGGGGCTTAGGACCGGCTAGTAACTAGTAAACTAGTTAACCAGGCGAGGTTGATTGTATATGTTAGTTCTTCAGAATAGTACAGAAAAAGAAAAGTTAACATACAATGAGATGTGGTTATCGGTTGTTCTCATCGCTGTAAAAATCACTGATATTAGGTGATGATTGAAGGCGGAATGAAAATCTTGGTCGCAGCAGGATTCAAATCAGAAGTCTCCAGGTTACCGGCCCGCTCTTCTAATTAGATTAAATGGAGTTAAGAGTCTACATCCTCCTAGGTATTCATCTGTCACACTTTTGCATGAGCGTCAAATCAATTCATCACTCAGAAAGATGGAATTAGCTTCATTTGTAGAAGACTCCAGACCATTTTGTTCCTATCTTGTCCTGCATATTTTATGCTTACTTCTCGTGTGTTTACGATACATCCTAATAGACTCTTCTTCCAAATCTTCTGTCTTCCTATCCGTCATAAACACCTGAAAAATCAGCGCCGAGTGCACACTGATCAATAATATCGAAATTCGATTTTCAAGTAATCACTTTCCAGTATCTTGACCCTTGTATTCGTCACTGGCCATTAGCCAGTAATGTAATGATCACGAGTAGATTTTATGTATCACTAACCTCATCCTTGATTTCATAGACGACCTAAACAACTGAGCTGTAAACAAGTTCCATTACTGAAATTAAAAAACATTCTGCCCCACTACAAGATTCTTACCAGCACTTTCCTGGTCGCCAACCAGGTACTCTGCTACATGGGCTATGTGTAAACTGGCTGTTCTAGTTTCACTTATGTCATGGTCATTCTGCCAAAAGATATGTAGATAATCTAACCAGTAAGTGCTAAACCATGAAAGTGTAAATAGCTGCATATCATTTCACTTTGTGAACAACGCACGTAAGCCAATGTGTTCTCTGAGTGTTGACACTAACCAGTAGAATCAATGATGGGATATCTCATTACATTTCGGATTCTTCTAGCTTGTATCTAAGTGCTGGTTTCCATACTGCAATTCGATTCTCGCCAAGTAAGACTTCAAACAGTTACGCTTCGATAATAGCCTTGATTTCAACTGTATTCAACAACATTTGTAAGACGTTTAATTTCATGTCTTCCAAATGTCTGTTATTTGACAGCGTATTGACTGCTCAAATAGATGCTTCACTGTTTCTGTTGAGTTTATTTGTAATTAACTTAAGCCGTATTCCTTGGTGTCACCACGTGGGTAACGCAGACAGGTATAGAGTTTTAGGGAGTGGAGGTAAATCTGTTGACGAGGTTATGAACCTTCATCGACTAAGATGGTTAAAACATGTATTACGTATGCCTCGTCACACAAGGTTGGCCGAAGTAGGTCAAAGCTGGAAAAAGGCTCAAGCTGGCCAGACTAAAACATAGCACCAATGTATGAAGTCTTTGACTGTTGGTTTGAACCATATAGGGCGATGCAGACTAGTCGGTTGGGGTCCGCTGGACAAGAGGAACCAGTGGTTGCAGACTCTAGGTGATATGGCTCACAACTGATGTCAGTGGCGCAGATGTATGCACACATTATCATCGTCTTAACGGCGCTGTACCGAATCTCACCGTTTTGTCATCCTTCCTTTCTTTTCGTACTTTTTATTTCTTTTGACTGAATTTTTTTATCTTCAATTTGCGCCTCATTGCCTTTTTACTTGATGTACTGATATGAGGTGTGGCAATTCGGACCGTTACGCAGTAATGCCTGGTCCTATGTTGATATTGATGATGATGATGAAGTTAATGGAATGCCTATTTCGTCTTTCTTGAGGTTCTTCAGTTGGATTTTGTGCGTGTACACACATCCCTGTCTTTCTTTATGGTATTAGTATAACTCTCGAATCGAATAACTCCTCCTATTTGTTCAGTAATTTTCTTAGGTTCCATTCTGTTCACACTCTTCACTTTGCTTAGTGTTTTTATCAAATTTCGTTTGTGTATGTGCATGTCTTCTGTTGGATTTCTTAGCTGAATTATATTTCTTAACACTACTTTTTATGTGTATTCTTTGTGCTAATGCTGAAACAATCTTTAATCGATTTTCAGGATGCAATAATTCACTCAACCTATGGTCATTTTCCTGATGATGATGATAACTAATAGCACCAATGGTTACTCTTATGTGTTCGTGTGTGTGTATTTATTAGATGGAGTACCAGCAAGTGTATACACTAACAAGATAGTATTATCTGCCAACAATCTTATGTGTAAACACTGATACTATTTTGACTGATAACTTTGTTGTCTCTCTATTGGTTTCAGTTTTTCTTATATTCTTTTCATTCCAATATGTATATATCCATTGTTTTGTAACGCACTTGCTACTAGGTTTTTTGTTACTATCCCCTTGGCAACTTAACACTACAGTCCAACCACTTGGCTTCCTGTGTCTGATTTACAGCTTCGACCTACAACTTTTGAAGCCACTTAGTTTAGGTACCTAAGCGGTAACGTTAATGTTTGCACATAATAAGTTTCTCACAGCCTCTTACACAAACTTTAATGTAACTTGGTACCTGTGTCGAGTGAAATCCTGCATGTGTCAAATCCTGTTCGGCATTCATTTACTAATTGTTTCTGTTGCAATGTTCGCATCCACATCGAGACTCATACACAATACTATTGTTTAAAATTGTCTTTCTGAACCTCTTTATGTGCAAATAATGAAAAGTACCATTCCTAACACAGGTTTACTCCTTGCGATTTCCTCAATAAACAAATGTCTGTGGACTTTCTTACTCCTTTATCTGTCGCTATAAAGAAACCTTTGGTTGTAAGACACTTGATCGTCATTTTATTCAGCAGTAGATATTAACAGGACATGAATGTCAACAAAGTTAAATCCTATCTTCAAGTAGTAAAGCTATCAGATCATGTCCTATTTTATCTTCAAAACGGTATGATCATAACTGTTTACGTACTTCGTGTAGGCATATGTGATTTCTTTAGCAGCTACTGCAGTTTAGTCGATCGTAATAAACAAAAGATCTACATCAAGAATACCTTGCGTCTCATTACTTACCCACCTAAATTTATCAATAAATTCATAAGAAATAGAAAGAAAAATATTGGCAATAGTAGTAGTAACACTGATGTTATTAATAATTCTACTACTAATGGTGGCAGAGCTGAAAGAGAATTCAAAGCCTCTGCATTGCTACCATACAATGAAAGCACCTCATAAGCGTTACAAAGAATTCTCGCTAAGGATTAGAGTAGCATCTAGACCAATAAACTCGCCTCGAAACAAGCTTTGTAGGTTAAAAGATCCTATTGATACAGCTAGGTAAAATAACTTGGTTAACCAAAATTTCTCAATGATTGCGAGGTCAAGTACATAGGTCAAAGTAGTCAACCAGGGTCAATTAGAATAACATAGCACAAAACTTAGCTGAATCAAGATTAGTAGATCCTAATCAGATAAAGACATGCCAAGTACTTCACAATGGGAAGCTCAGTGATGCTTTTTGAAGTGAAGACAGGAGTGAAACAAGGTTGCCTACTATCACCCATGATATTCCTGATTGTGGTCGACTGGATCATGCAACAAACAGTGAGGAACCAGAAGAGGGGGATACGCTGGACCGCAGAAAAGAACCTAGAAGATTTGAATTTCGCCGATGACTTGTGTCTGATGTCGCACAAACTTGACGATCTACAGGCGAAAACTAACAAGTTGGCAGAAGAGGCAGCGAGGACAGGACTTCAAGTGAATATAGAGAAGATATAGGTGGAGGTGATGAAGATACCCAACCAACGACAAGCTTCAATCACCATGAACGGGAGAAACTTAAAAGAAGTAGCCTCCTTCACCTATCTAGGAAGCACTGTTTCAAGTACAGGCGGCACAGACGAGGACATCATTGCCAGCCAGGATCGGAAAGGCAAGACAGGCGTTCATTATCCTGAAACCAGTGTGGAGATCTACTGCACTGCACTCAGCATGTGGAATAAAATTTGGATTTTCAACACCAACGTCAGTCAAGTCAGTGCTTCTGTATGGTTCAGAGACGTGGAGCGTTACGAAAGGGATTTCCAACAAACTACAGACATTCATCAACAGTTGCCTACGCTGGCTGGTTACTAAAGATGAGATGTCCAAAAAATAGCAAGAAGGAACTCTGGCCGGGCAATGAACTAACCAAGAACCCACCACTCAACAAATATGCGGAAGGAAGTGGAGATGGATTGGATCAGGGATACACTGAGAAGGCCGACTGGGGACATCACGCGTCAGGCCAGGTGGTTGAGTGGAACCCCTATGGGAAGCGACGAGTTGGGTGTCTGAGGTGAGGGTGACATGGAGGAGATCGTGCGAGGAGGGGATGAGAGCTTGTGGGGAGTGGTGGAGCCAGGTTGAAAAGATTTCAGAGAAGAGAGTGTAATGGAGACGTGCCACTGAAGCCCTATGTTGCATTAGGAACCCAAGGGACAAATAATAATAAATGAGATAAGGAACTTAGAGAAAAGGTCGGTTAGGGCTCTGCACGCAATTACACACAATAGGGTGGGATAAAGTGACAGTATGAAAAAATGACGTAGTTGTGTGGAGGGATAGGTCGATAACCGAATCTTTGTTTATCGAATCAGCACCAAAAACATGCAATAGAAATGAGTCTGGATCTGTCTCAGCTATGTGGGGAATTCTACTACCCTTGTCATCACAAAGAAGGAGAGAAGATTAGAACTAAATAAACCATATCTCAAAGTTATGGAGTTACCTGATATGAATAAGGACGATAAATTATGTCCGAAACGTTATCCAGTAAATAATACTGTTTCACTGTGCGATATTTCTAATGAACGGACTAAAATGGAATTACAATTTACCACAGTGCTCAAGTTGTACTCCTATGTCAACCCAAAATTCCATTCACATCTTAGGCTAGAATCGTTGTTTCAAAAGTGTTTACCATTCTGAGAACAACTCTTAATAAAAGTGCGTAAGCACCACGACATTTTCGCATTATTGTTAAAACTGATCGTCCGTAAGTGTTACAACGGCACATTTTGTCTGAATCATATTCTATCCTTGTTAAGTAACTGCCATCGCATATTTAGTCATTAACAACGTAGGAAATGGGTCGACAGTTTCCTTCTTTATATAGGAGAAATGAAATGAATTTATAGGGTACTGTGATGATAATCTACCGAAAATTACTTGGAATGATTAACTGGAAAACTGCAGTCAGGTTACACGAGAAGTTTAATTATGGTCTACACCGTTTGGATCTAACTCCTTAGTTCCGATACTTGTAACAAAGAGGTTGTTATTCTATGAAAAATCCTGTAAACCTGTCACTCTTAGTAGTGTTGACTAGTTTCGTTTGCCATCTTTCCCAACAAATGCTTATATAAAGTTGTAAATAAGTGCGGTTGTTTAGTTTCAATAATAGCCTTGCCAAAAATAAGTGTCTTCGCTGAGGTACTTGCTTGTATTTTATCTTGTTAGAGATTTAACATTTGTTGGATGAAGTCAGCAATTTGAAATGATTATTAGTGCTCCTTTGTCAAGGAAATGTTTTTCTGCTGCCATTGGAAGGGGCGGACATTTTCACAGAAGTAGGCAATGTATTCCGCCAGTGTAAATATGACTTTCGGAACTGTTTTTATGCCTTGTGAATATATACGAAAAGATGTTACACTGGATAGCAAATATATTGCTACTTGAGAAAAAATAAATGGTGAGAGTGACGTTCATTGATTGAAAATTTCTACGCTAAAGGTTTACAAGTATATCTATGTGGAAGCTTCATCTTCGGATAAAAGTAGGCTGTAACGTTCTTTTACTTTATAAATATGCATTCCATTTATAAAAGAAGTCTTGCTAAAGGGTTTTAATGAAAGAACTACTCTATCAGCTGAGAGCATATCTATCTATTGTAAATGCAACTTCCCTGTACAACGAGGTCTGAGACAAAAGTTAAGAACTAAAATCTTATAGAAGACAATTGTCAGCTATTCATTTGTCATACTCTTAAATTAGTAAACCAGCATTCAAGAATGTGAGACCATGAAAGAAGATAAAGCTGGTCATCCAGTCAGGAAGGTGTATCTGGAATTTTGTACATCAGCAGAAATGTGTTAACTGTTAGGTATTTGCAGAGCGTGTACGCGAGTGATCCAAAGTACGAAAACAGTGAACCCGATGATGTGTGTGCTTGACGCCATACCTTCAACTAGACCAGCCCACTGAAACTATGACAGTCACTACATAATGTTGAATATATCTATTAACTGAGGAATATTTAATCACATCTACAGTAGTGTATTTAACCGGTGACTTTTTATAGGCCGTTTATTTCGCTTGAGAAGCGAATTTTGACCGTCCACTTAGTAGGAACTTGAAATAAGTGGGTTCGTTGTGTCAAATAAAATTGAAGTTATTTATAAACGCACTCTTCATCACTGTCAAAAAGTCGACCAACTGAAGGTTAATTAAACACTTGCTTATAATACCGACAGCATGTTAATCTGTTCGATTAAGATGTGTGAGAAAACTCCCCGAAAAGGCTCTGGGTTTATAAAAGGTTCTTTCTCTACAGTCAACTGGTTTAAATGTGTGTAAAAAATGTTTTTTCTTGAGATCGACGTTTGAGTCTCCTCAATTCTTCGCTATCATCTTGGTTTAAGACTGTTCGGCATTTCCGTTATGTAGGATCTTGTTTAAGACCCTAGGATTTCGTGGCGGAAATCTTATCCACTGCTTTTGGATTTAGTGGTTCACGTTTTCAAACTTCTGTTTTCCTGTCATCAGTTTTTACTTTCAACTTTGTTGTGTAGTATGTTTACACAGGTTGAATGATTTGGGTCGGTAGTTGAATGCTAAAGTGTTGTCCGTGATGTCTGATAGTCTGGTTTTGCGGCTGTGTTATACTGAACAATGAAACCAGAAGAAAATAGCTACTCAGTTAAGCTTGCCTTTCACTAACTCTTAAACTGATATCAATATTTCATGACAACTGCCTCAGACATCGACCATTTACACACAAACTATCTGATTGGATAAAAGTTCATCTGTTATTGGAAAGCAAGCATTTCATCTGCATTCGCTTGAGTTCAGTATTTT